CAGGGACTTGGTCGGAAAGATCGGCGGCAGGCACTTCTTCAGCGAGGACGTGCACACACGCACATGAGAGCAGGAGAGCGAGGATACACAGCACGTAGCGCATCATTACCATTACAATACTTCTTGTAGTAGTCTTACTTCAATCGCTTACAGAAAAACAAAAACCGGATAGAAAAACAGAAACAAAGTGAATCAATAGAAAAACAGAAGATGAAAACACATTACCAAATCAAAGAACACTCAATAATTACAGCAGAGGCACACGCAGAAAAAAAAAACATGCAACCATAACTCATATACTACCCAAATTAAAGTAAAAACGCACACAATACCCAATAACAAACAGAGAATCCCAATTACCCACACAAAAAAAAAAAGAAGTTAGAGAGTACAACCATCAGAAGAGTAACGCACAGAAATACATCAAAATGCCTCTTCAGGTCAAACCAAGCACAATTACAAATATACACATGTATTCCTTATTATTTTTCTTTCTCCCCACAAAACACTCCAATACACAACCAATGCAGGAAAAAGCACACAGTGCCCAAGCAAAGAAAACGAAAAAAACACAAATTAAGAGCACAAATTGCACAAAAATAACTCACAGACCACTGAGTATGCTGCTTCGTTCAAGTAATTAGAAATAAAAATTGTATTACCTACTATTTGTTCCTTTGCTCCTATAAAATAGATTTCCAAACCGTGCAGGGCAAAAGCACAGAATGACCCACGCACACTAAAGCAAAGAAAAAAAAATTATTAATTAGCCCAATTTAACCGGTAAACACACAGAAATAAACCAACTATGGGTGTAAGTCTATGTGTGTGTGTATATAAGCAATTATAAATATAAATGCATCTGTTATTATTTTTTTTCTTTTTCCACTACAAAAAACATTTCATCATCATTATTACAGTGCAAGCCCAGGTGCACACACAGAGAGAGTCTCCAAGAATACACACACACAAAATGGAGTAGCAATAATAATTATAATAGGATAAACACACAGAGAGCAAAAACACAAACAAAACACATTAACATTAAGAAACATAAAAAGAAGAATATCCCAACAGGTGGAAGATTAGTTAGACTGTAGTGTGGATGCATGGAAAAAAGAAAAAGAGAAAACAAAGGATGACCTGAGTCACACCACACCACCATTACAATATTCAGCACACAAGAATACAGGCCAGTGTAACCACAATCAGTAGTGGTACACGCACCCACACAGAACTGCTGATACTGCTGCTGCTGTC